GGGTCATCATTATCTTCATCAGTTGAAGCTTTGGATTCTGACACAGAATAAGAATATGAGGTGCATTCAGTATACTTTTCCTACGTGTCACCTCATCTGCTGCATTCAATATAGGACTCCTTAACCCAACATTCGAGCAAACCTTCTCCTCAATGATAACAACATCAGGATCACACTCCTCCTATGTGAAACACAACATCATGGATTGATGGGTCTACCTCTAATGTAAAGAAATGGACCTTGGCCTAGCTCAAACCCAAAAGCTAGCTCATCAAGGAAGGATTGACTAAGACCATATAAAAGACCACAACCCTTTCAGTCGACCAATTTGGGACTTTTTTAATTGATAATGCCAATATGGGACTTAACAAATTTCACTTTGCTTTTGCCACTGAGCAGTATGCTATTGTTTCGTTACTCATTTTGCTTCCAATTGATACTGATGTCATGTCTCTTTCTGCTTTAAATTAATACCATGTCCACTCCGTAATCTATTCTACATCTTAGACTGAGTTATGATTATAGTAACTACTTCCTGTTCACTTATCTTCGTGGGTTTCTTTCTCAAGAAAGGAAAGAAGAATGTAAATAATTTAGGGAGTGTTTTATTGTTTCAGATCATAATTTCTCTTCCAAATATGCTTGGCTTGGATCTTTTTCTACTTTTAGAAGCCCATATATTGGTATTAGCTAAATCAGACATTGCTTCACCTTTCCTTGGATGAGACCTGCTTCGCTAATGGCTGAAAGGCGACTCATCCTGCATGAGATAAAGCTGATTTTGTATAAAGGACGACTCATCCTGCATGAGATAATGCTGATTGTTGGAGGATTGACCTAAGGTTGACTAGCCTGTAGGAAGGAAAATGCGATGAGAATTATTGCCACAACAGACAAACTGGTTAGATGTGTAAACGACGAAGGAAATCCCACTTCTATTAGAAGCTTAAAAGATTATAGAAAAGAGCTTTCAAGGAGGGTAGATTTGACTCCGAGGCAACTTTTCTAAACTGCACTATAGGATCTGTATATGAGCTTTATAACTTGCCTAATAGTGTGTATAATAAATGAGGCTAGAAAAATTACAGAAGAGAACTTTCAAGGAATATTTGAGCCTATGCCGATGTTTCTTTCTCCATATATGCTCTGTGGGATCTCTGTATGAACTTTAGCAGTTGAGCTATAGAGTGGATATAAACACCATATTGCTTGATCTATCAATTTCTTGAACTCATCCGATACATTCAGGAAATACTAAATATAAAATGTACCATAAAAAGAAAAAGGAAAACAATACAGTGTCCTTTCTGTTGTTGGGGAAAAATCGAAGATTTCACATGGTACTTTTATCAATCTGATTTATTTCGTACCTTTCGTTCAATGAGAAAATGGGCATTCCCTTGTGGAGTGGAAGAGACTATTTATAATGCACTCAGCGCATGGATTGCCGCTTCTGTAAAGCATGGAGTGTGGAGACTGGAGAGTATTATAATTTATATAGTGCATATTTGTGGTTTTCTTTATTAACAATTGTCTTCTGGTATAACTTTGATAGTTTTTGATCTTCTGGTGATAAAAGAACTTGATTTATGTGGTAATTATCACTTAATGCCAGATTGAAAGCAATATTGTTCGTTGCCCGAACCCTGAATATGCAGAAAAGATGATTGGTGCCATTGATTATGTACGAGTGAGGGGGGATTCTGTTGGTGGTGTCGTAACTTGCATTGTTAGAAATGTTCCACGAGTAAGTTCTCTCTCTCTCTCTCTCTCACTCTCTGTGTGTCTGTTAGTTATCGTGCATGTCTTTGGTGCTGGTGGAACCTTCACATGATAGTTTGGTGATAATTACTAGGGTCTTGGTACACCAGTCTTTGATAAACTTGAAGCTGAGCTGGCTAAAGCTTGCATGTCATTACCAGCAACAAAGGGTTTTGAGTTTGGAAGTGGCTTTGCAGGTACAGAATCTTCATACTATGGAAGTTGTTAAAATTTACTTTTAGTTGCTGCTATAACTTTTAGCATTGATAAGTAGCTTAGCTTTAGTTTGTTGAGATATTTTATATTTTTGAATTTTGAACTATGCAAATTTTTTGTTGTAAGTTGGCTATTTAAAGCTTCCCTATGCTTAAGAAAAATATTGAGAGACATTTTCAATCAATATTTTCTAACCCTTTTTGCTGCATCATCTTTTTAAAAAACAAACAGAAGTGATTTTCTTATTATCTTGTTGCTGTATGATAGCAAACTCCTAAGTCGAAACAGATTAATCAAGATAGGTGTTATCATCTATATAGTATGGTTTGGGGAACCTGTTCAATGAAAATATGAACCAGGTATTATGAAAAATTTCATTCAGATTTTATCCAAAGAAGTACAAGTAGTTAAAACTATTAAAATAATTGCAAAATTACCCAATAACATGAGTTAAGTGAAAAGGAATCGTCCAAATCTAGTTCAGTATTGCATAAAATGTATGAAGAATCAATTTTAAGACAGTTCACTACCTCCGATGACGAAGCCCTGACGACTTAAGCATCCATTTTCTGTTACCAGGTGCAACTTTGAACTGTTCTATTTCTTCTCCTTTACAATCTTGCCCGACCTATTTGCTTCTGCTTGGAGCTCTCGATAACAGAACCTCCTTGAATGCCTTGGTCTTTTTATGCCCTTTCCTATCCCTCTTTTTGTTACTTAGGTAATCACCCCCTTTCTGTTTTGACAAAATCGTATCACTCATGACAAAGATGCGTATCTGCTGGAATCTGAATTCGCAAGATTATCTCCCCAAATTAAGCCTAAGATGTCTTTAGATCGAAGCTGCATTCTAGCATCTCTCTATGATTAATACGGTTTGCGTTGGTGTCTAGATGATATTGGATTATCAAGGTTTAACATTGTTGAAGCATATGAAATGCTAATGCTTCCAGCTTGAACTAGATAGGAAAGATAACGGAAAGATCTGGCTTCAGAGTACCAAAAGTTTTTAGGTGGTCAAGTGTGCTTCATTGAGTTTAGATCTACGATGTGGCTGGTCCAGGGGGTGTTAGTTACTTGACTGGTGATTTAAGGGGATTAAACAATTAATGCTAAGGATCTTAGTTGATTCATTGACACTTTGTTTACGGCATGGTTGGTTAGAATAGTAAGGAAGTTGGCCAATTCAGATGCGAGTCATTCTTTGTTCAAAATTACAGATGTAGACAACTTCTCTGAATTTAAATATGGGTATCGTCCTATGTCAAAAAAACTTGAAGGCCTCTAACATGTTAATATCTTTGATAAACCTCATGTTCTATTTTGTTTCTGGTGAAAAACTACAGGTACTTTCATGACTGGCAGTGAGCATAATGATGAGTTCTTTATGGATGAACATGACCAAATCAGGACAAAAACCAATAGATCTGGTGGTATCCAGGTACACTCGCAATATTTGCAATATTCATTTGGATATGTCTTTAGAAATTGACAAACAATTCCATTTCCTTTTCAAGTTGAGTTATCTGTTTAATTTATTTCACAGGGAGGCATATCAAATGGAGAAATTATTAATATGAGAGTAGCATTCAAGCCAACTTCTACAATTGCAGTAAGTCCCAGTCTCTATAAAAAAAAAATCCATTTTTTTTCAAGTTAGGTTATTCTGTATGAAATACGTCTTATTTGAATTGTTATGCAGAGGAAGCAACATACTGTTAGTAGGGATAAACATGAGACTGAACTCATTGCTCGTGGTCGCCATGATCCTTGTGTGGTTCCACGAGGTTCGTATGCCTGACTTTGACTATTACTTAATTTGGCTTGTCCCTTCCTTTCGTCGTACTAGGATCTTTACTCTTAGAAACCACTTAGGTGGCATGACATCTAGACTAGCTCGATCTGTTCTTGTTCTTTACTGGTGTTTTTGTAAAATAACCAAGAGAAAATCTGCTTGCCATTTGCTCTACAAAATACATTCCTTTTTTGGTTCCTTTTTCTCCTTAAATATTTGAAAACCACTTGAAAAGTAAACGGACATTTGATGTCTTTGTGCAACAGCTGTTCCGATGGTGGAAGCAATGGTCGCCCTAGTGCTCGTGGATCAGTTGATGACTCAATATGCACAATGTATGCTATTTCCAGTCAATCTTACACTACAGGAACCTTTGCAGCCATCGACAACCAAGTCAGCTTAGGTTCCCCTTTAAAAGGAGCTGAGCAGTTTGCGTACCCCCCCCCCCCCCCATTACAACTTCTCACTACATGGCTTCTCACATTTCTGGCATTCTACTACGTTTGGAGAGTGAAATTTTTTGTTAAAAGAAGTTATCCTCAACACATAGAGAGTTATATTGTTGAACAGAGAAATGTATATAGATTTTGTTGTTGGAGCTATCACCAGTTTGTTGCTCCGACTTTTCAATTATGTCTTTTGCTATGTGTTGGATCCTTCAAAAATAGTGCGTTTTTGGAGAATCCATCATAGGCACAACAATATTTTTGAAGAGTCTATACGGAGAGACAAGTACATCTAAAAAAAATGTGAAATTGTGACGTTTTCATTATTTTATAGGCTTTTCTTGTGTTTGTAAACTCAAGTTGTACTCACATAAGATTGTTAACAATGTAATTTGTATAATACAAACATTTACGATTTCATAAATTTTGTGAATTAAATTTGCCTTTTTTTTTTTGCGAATATTAAACGATGAACATATAAGTAATATCATTGCTAGTTGCTCTACTCTAGCAAGTCCAAATTGGTGCCAATGAATTGTTTACTGCAATTAAGTGTTAAAATTCATAAGGTTTTCTTTACAAGTTCTTGTTATGGTGAACCAACATATCAATGTGCATTACACCCCAGAGATCGATTCTAAATTTGAAGTTTATTAGTTTTGAATTAAAAAGTTTATCTGTTTTCTAAATTTCATAATATATACATATTCAGTGAGATATCTCAACAAATTACAAAGTTGAACCAAAATTATCGAGCTATAATGAACTCGTACTTTCTATGCTCTCGGATGGAGCTCCCTATACCCTAAAGAAGCAGGTCCCACAAGTAATCGAAACAAATGAGAGGTTGTCAACGAAGAGGTAAAAGTTTGCAACGAGCCCTTCAACCTCGCTTGCTTGTACTATTGCTCACCTACCTGACTTGCTATTTACCTAGTTTTCTTACGGCAAGTGCTGTCTTAGCTCACCCCCAGCATACACGTATTAAGGTCTATTTCAAGTTAAAGAGCACGTTTATGTATTATTCCGAACTAGTAAATGAAACATTTTGAACCTATCCTCACCATTTTTTGCCATTTATCTACTATTTGACCATATATATTACCTTCCTTCAAACTTCAACTCATCGAAGTTCACAAATCCACCATTTTCCTCCATAGTTTCACATCTTCAAAACTATTTAACAACAAAATCAAAGTAGTGATTACAGATCTGCTAGTGATTCAAGCTTCTCCTTTCTTCAGGTAATCGATAAATCTCCACTTCAGTTTCCATTTATCTGTTTCGGTTGAACGCTATAGCAAATTGCATATCAACTGGTTGATGAAAGGTCCCAAAGACTTTGCTATTGTAAAACTATAACCAAACCAAAAAAAAAATGAAACGACGAGGTCATTTCACTAATGATCCTATCAAATTTCTATATATTGTAGTCTCGATTGCTTGTACTTTCGTGCTGTGTTTTTCAGTACTAAAACTTAACGAAATAACACAAGGAAATGAAAATGTGATTGGTTTGAAACTGAAGAAAAATCGATTAGATGGAGGAAGAGGAATAGGGAAGTTTGGGGAAATAGTGATTGGAATGTTACCTCAAGATTTGGGGTTTACTTTATTTTTGCCATCTGAAGAAGCATTCGAGCGGGATCTGGGATTGAGATTGGGTGAGAATGAGAATGAGAACGATACATATGCAATACTAACTCGAGTACTCGGGTTTTCAGCTGTACCAAGAAGGATTTACGCGGATGATGTACAAGTTGGGAAGGAGATTGATTATGATTCAATATCGGGATACACTGTGTATATATCGAAAGAGTCAGATGGGTTGTTGATAGTTAATAGAATTGCTTCGGAAATGGTGGATTTGAGAAGAGGGAAGATTGTTGTACATGTTATGGATGGGGTGATAATGGATCCAGAATTCGAGCAATCTGTTCGACCTGATGATGATTGAGTTGAGCTAACTTGAGCTGAGCTGAGCTAAGGTTTCATGGTTGCTGATTAACCCGGCCATTTTCACCTTAGGGGAAACTTACGAAGCTTGATGCATTAGGATGGCACAGACAGATCTATGAAGACGATAAACTTTGGTGTATAACTTTGCTGAATTCGAGTAAATATAGTGGCATTGATTTCCTGGAGATCAACATTGAACCAGATCAACACTACTTTTGAAGAGGAATTATGCATCACTTGAGTCTGGATCAACATTGAACCAGATCAACACTGCTTTTGAAGAGGAATTATGCATCACTTGAGTCTGGATTTTTCGGAGTGATTATCTCTATCTTCTAAGATAAGGTACGTTCTGCGTATACGATACTATCCCTAGACTCTGAATTGTGGGATTACACCGAGTATGTTGTTATTGTTGTTGAATATCAGCTTCCGATAGTGGCATACGAGGTGGGCATCCATCAACAACACAACCAATACCATCACCATGAGATTCTCCAAATGTTGTAGCGCGGAAGAAAGTTCCATATGTATTTCCAGCAGCCTTTATCTTCGTGTATCTTATATTCAAACTTGTAAACTACTTGTGAGTTGGGAGGCTGATTGAAGAAATTTTTGAACATTTTATTTCTCATATGGGAATTCGTCATTTTTTAACATAGGTATTAGTTATGCAGAGTTCAGTCATTCATGTATTAATTATTTCACGTTCTATCTTTTACAGAGAAGGAGGTTCAGATATACCCTTTACGTTAGGTAAAACTATTCAGCATGAAAATTTAGATCAGTTTAGGAGCTTTTATAGTTGGCAAACACCTAAGAGTATTTAATAACCATTTTAATTAGATTGCCAATTAATTAAACTTTAAATTTATGTTTCTCACATTATATGTAATGAAGCTCATTTAGCTTAACTTTAGTGAAAAGGAGAACCAATTATTCTTTCCTTAATATAAAGTTTTATTTCTTCTACATTCTCAATACATAAGTTTCAAATGATTTTGATTGATGGCTACTGGCTAGCTTTGAGACATGTAGCAAGCTACATTTTCACCTGACCAAAAATATGTAAACTCAAAGCCAAGAGGTGTTTGGGATTGAAATAATAAGGTGTGATGCAGAAGCAAACAATTGTAAACCTTAAATGACGGTAATCAAGAGATTAGATTGCATTAAAAACAAAGAAATTATCGAGAGTTATTGTCATTGTATCTAGATCTTGACCTTTGATGAAGATGAATTGATGTATTGTTTTTAACAACTCACATAGCCGCGCCTACCAACAACAAGACAACTACTTCTTGCATGACACTAAAAGTTGCTCTTTAATGCTTGGGTTTGCTCAATACAAGAATTGTAGCCCAACCTAGCTTAGGTTTGCTCAATACAATAATTGTAGCGCAACCTAGCTTAAGGCTAAAGTTGTGCACTACACCCCATGAGAGCTCTCTATTAGACTAATATACTCCCTTTTGATCTCCCCAATACCTTCGCAGCAAAGCTAGGAATGATTGACTTTCGAATTTTATGCTTGGGTTTGCTCAATACAAGAATTGTAGCCCAACCTAGCTTAAGGCTGAAGTTGTGGACTACACCCCATGAGAGCTCTCTATTAGACTAATAGACTCCCCTTTGATCTCCCTAATACCTTCGCAACAAAGCTAGGAATGATTGACTTTCGAATTTAAATAATATTACATCATAGCAATACTCCTCATTTCTTCTTTTATGACCACAACCCCGTGAGAACCCTTTATAAGGCATAACTCAAGTTTATATGGTATGCACACTTTTGAGGCTCAATGTGGCATAGACCACAGACAAATTTGTATGGGCCTAAGCCCAAAGCGGAAAATACATGACATGAGCGTAGGTCGTGATAGAATGATAATTAAAATGTACCAATTGGCAATAGCAGACTAGCAGTGTTAGAAAATTCACTAGAGTGAAAAAGGAGTATGCATTTGATTGAAGTTGAAACAAATTGAATGTGAATCACTAACAAGGAAAAATAAAACTCTGTTTTGTACAAAGCAAATTACAAGCAAGAAAAAATGAATAAGCAAGGGGAAAACTTGCTAGTGTGATAAATTATACAGGAAAAATGTTCATATCAGTCTATGTATGGAGATGAAAAAAAGGATTTCAAACAAAATTGTGCCATTTTTGAAGAAGATCAGAACTAGTATGCAACTTTAACTATTTCATGCAATCTCCTAAGCTATGGCCTTGCTCCAGCTCAGATTTGAAGATAGAAACAATCTTTAAACAATGTACTTACTTTCTTGTCGTCAATCTTCCAGCCTGAGAATTCGAGCATCAGTACTCTTGAAGGTACTGATCACTTCAATATACAAAATGAATATGTGTTCTCTTATACTTGACCTTCAAAATTTTGCATTCTACTTCTCATTTGGTGGCTACACATACATTTACTTTCAGAAATGAGTTTTTCGCTGTTTTACCTTTCCAACCATGGATCTGTTAAAACTCCATTAGTCAGATGCTGACTTGCTGATCACAGTCTGAATTCCATTTGATCCGCAAAGATCTTATTTCACTCCTTTTGTTCTTCAGAAGTTGTTGAATTATGATGCTTCTCGGGTGACTTGGGAGGATCTTCACTTTTAGGTGACTCTAGTTTGTGTGCTGAAGTTGTGACATCTTGATGTTTTTCGGATGTGCTAAGAGACTCTTCACCTTTGTCAGGTGATTTCAAACCGTCATTTTTGTAATGGGGTAGATCTCTAGAGTCTGGTTTCTCACAGTGTTCATTGGTTGAATCCGTTACGGTTGGTTCCACAACTTTCTCTGATTTGTCAGGTGAGACTGTTTTGTGCGGTGAAGCTGAGGAGTTATGCTGTGGAGATTGTTCATCATTATGAGACAAGTCAATAGAGCAATCCTTTTTGGCGGATAGATAAGTGCTATCCTTTTTGGCGGATAGATCACTGCTATCCTTTTTGGCGGATAGATCAGTGCTATCCTTTTTGGCGGATAGATCACTGCTATCCTTTTTGGCGGATAGATCAGTGCTATCCTTTTTGGCGGATAGATCACTGCTATCCTTTTTGGCGGATAGATCAGTGCTATCCTTTTTTTCATCTTTCAAGTCAGCGTCATCTGCATTGTCCTCTTTAATTTCCTCAGCTTCCAAAGGTCCAAGCTTTGCATCAATACGCTTGATTGCAACTGTTAATGATCTTGCATCACGAGCAGCTGCCAGCCGTCCAGGTGATGATGCCTGTTTGTGAAGAAAAAAATATATCAACACATCAAGAGTGTTCATGGTTAGAGTAGTTTCTTGCAAATTTAGCTGCAAGGATATCCAGAATCTGGTGAAACACCTTTGTGAATAAGATTCAATAAATAGCTCTAACATTCAGTTTTGTCTTGATTAGACTGTGAACTGGCCAGCCAAGGCAACATGTGATAGTTATTTTTCGACTGAAGTATCCATTTGAACATTACTCCCGTTGTTTCAAATTGTTTGTCTGGTTTTGATTTGGCACGAAGTTTAAGAAAGTAAATAAGACTTTGGAATCTTGTGGTCGTAAACTAAAGATATGTAGAAAGTACCAAAATGTCATTTAATCTTGTGGTCTTAGATATGTTGTCATGTGGAAAGTCGAGATTGAAGAGTTGCCAAAAGTAGAAAGAGGCATTCTTTTTCGAACGGGCGGAAAGAAAAGTAAGACAAGCAACTTGAAACGGAAAGAGTACCATTTTTCTTCACCTACAATATCTCCTCGTGTTGCTAACGGGGTCACAGAGTAGAAAAAGACTTGAGATAATGGAAGGAAAATAGTGGCAGGACAGAAATCACTGCTAATCCAATTTCTCAACTAGTTAGATGTAAGTGCATATTTTGGTCTTCCTATTTCTACAATTTTGGCATTCTATTTTTCTTTCTCTACATTTTAATGCCTCGTCGAGAGAAAAAAACTCCAAACAAAAGAAGCACTAACGTAAGTTCAATATATCCAAAGAAAGAGAATGGCACTATTTAATAACTGACCTCCAACAAATGTTCAGCCCTTTTCTTCAAAGCCTCGAAAGATGCTTCCTTATGAATAAGTTTTAAGATGTGGGTCAAGTGAGGCAGAAGATTCTCAAGACGGTGTTGGTCAGTTTTGCATTGAGGAATAGTAGACACACAGCCTACTGGATAGAAGGGGCAGTTGGCAAGCTTCATTGGACATACAGTTATACAGTGCCTGTCCATTTCACGCCTCATGAGTGTTTCTGGGCATTTCTGCTCGCATTGGAGTATTTTGAACGGACATGTTGAATCATGCAGTTCCAGCTGAGCTGCACTAAATCGGGCATTGCATCCCTCATTTTCACAGTGCAATTCCCTGAAACCACACAAGGTGATATGCTTCGAAAGCTCTTCTTCAGATTTGAACCTCATACTGCAGTGATAAATGTTCTTGAAGTCGATATTTCTTATCGATGTTTGTGCCACTGCTATCCTCCTCGCCATCAACCAAAAGCCATTCATTTCCATTTCTTGTACGAAATCATCTATCCTTTCCTCTCTCCTTTCACTTAGCATCCATGATGAGACTTTGCAGAAAAAGTTCCTCTTAGACTGTGCAAAATCATCAATAAAATCCGATATAATATCATGAGGGTTGTCTGACACTTCAACAACCGAGTCACCTTCTAAGACAACAGATTCTGCAACAAACATCTCGCTTCTCTGGACAAGATAGTCCACCATTTCTCTTCTAATATCAACAGCCACAGAAGCGGGGCTATTCAACAAACCACCGGTCGTATTATCAATACAGGCAGAGGCTAGTCCAGGGAGAAATTCATCCGCTACCTTTTGAACCATCTCTGCATCAAATAGATCACAGTGGAAGAGGGCATCGTCCTCCTCAATTGCTGCTGGTTTAGTTTCCTTCACTTCCTCTAATTGCACGTCTTCAAGTTCTGCTGTTTTGATTTTTTCTTCAACTGTAGGAGGGTCCATGTTCAAAGAAGCTTCCGATATGACCAAAGAGATAAAGAACTGCAAACGACATCGTATGTTCAGTACCACAGATACTGAAAATAAAAATAAAAGAAACTTCTGAAAGAAAACAAGTCTCCAAAAGCATGACTGGATGATCTTGGCTGGTGACATAAATAACCATCAGTAAATATGACTGGCAAAGAAACACAAATATCACTGGAGTAAAGAAAATTTCAGATTCATTCATTTAGCTAGTTTAGGTAAAATATCCACAGTAAATATTCTTCTCCGCCCTGGTGCCAATGCTACTTCAGCCTCCCATGACTGCCTCCACTTTTGGTTAGCTACATCTTATGATAAGAAGATAAAACATGGTTTTCCTGCTGTTTTGTTGCCGAGGAAATAATAGCAGTAATATAGATAAGATACAACAACAACAACATACCCAGTGTGATCTGGGGAGGCTGGTGTGTCTTACCCCTACCTTGTGAAGGTAGATGCGACACCAAACAACAAATACAAAAGCAACTAAAGGTAACAAACAAGAAGTCATTTTGACCTAGGTAAAACATACTAATCAAAAGTTATCAATTTGAAAACTAAAATAATTGAATCAACGAGATTCTTTTTCTTGAACTGCTGAAACAACATGATTCTTGTGTTTGTGTAAACAACTCGATCACTTTTTATATCGCTCCAACCCAGTGCTGGAACCAAAAAGCCTGACAAGGTGATTCGAAAAAATGCAAGAACACCACGTCTAGTACTGGCATTACAAAGTCAATGCTTTTGTATTCCCCTTTAACCCATTTTCCTTAAAAAATCAGATCAGATAGATTGCAACATCTTTAAGATGTGATTCCAGGATACCCCAGAATGGAATTATATATTTTGTGGATAATCAATCCACTTTTTGTATGGAATAAGTTAAACCAAGAATTGGTATAAAAAGATACTGGTTTTAGCTAATACCTCCAACCAAACACGAGATAGACTTAATCCCAAAACTTCTATTGAAATAAACCCACATAATCCTTCGAACCAAACATCATACAGAGGCAGAGCTAGGATTGCAACTTTACGATTTCTACATTTTAGAATGACGACTTCAAGTGATAATAAATGGGTTCTAAATCAAATGTGGTACATATTTAATGAATTTTTTAAAAACACAAACACACCATTTGAACAAAAATTACTAAATTCGGCGGAACCCCTAAGTTGTGGGTTTGGTTGCAAGCAAGAAATCAATGGAACCATAAACTCCCCTAACAAATTCTGATCTTCAAATATTTTCAAGTTCCCAAAAACTGATATCATAGTCATTTTAAGAACCAAATTTCACTTTCACTCACAAAACTACAATTTTTTCCAAAAAGCAAAAATTCAAAATTCTCAAGTTTCAACTTCAAAATGACCGAATGAACTTTCAAATCTTGGATCCGCCTCTGGTAACTAAATATCATGAATTCAAAATCAACAAACAACAATTAAGGAAGAAAGAGATCACCTCTACCTTCTCGTTCGTAAAATTAGATCAAAATTGAAAATCTGAAAACCCGTCAAATCAAATGGATATTTAACCAATACCCGCATAATAAATTCCAGAAATGAGCTCAAATTACAGCTTTATAACAAGAGAATCAAAAGCTAAAATGCATACAGAAAAAGCATAAAATTGTATGAAATAATAACAGATTTTTCATGAATAAAAATTGAATACCTTCGAATCTTGTGGGTTCCTATTTTGTCTCCGCACAATTTGGTGGGAAAATGTTGAAAAGCTCCATATTCTCGGACGTGCGTTCTATATGATACAAGAGAGCAATTTTGACCGTCCAAAAGACAAGAACTTTTTTCCGCGTTTAATATTCACATTAAAATTCAATTAATTTAGATTACGTCTAAATTATAATCTATTACTTTCTTTATTTAAAGAAAAATGATTTAGTTTGACTTTGAACGAAATTTAAGAAAAGAAAAAATACTTTTTAATCTTGTGGTTCTAAATTAAAGTTATATCAAATGTATCAAAATGTACTTTAATCTTGTGGTATTAATCATGTCACGTAGAAAATTAAATTTAAAATCTTGTCAAAAAAGAAAAGGGTCATTCTTTTTTAAACATCTTGTAGTTCTAAATTAAAGTTATATCAAATGTATCAAAATGTCCTTTAATCTTGTGGTATTAAACATGTCACGTGAAAAATTAAATTTAAAATTTGCAAAAAAAAAAAGGGTCATTCTTTTTTAAACATACTAAAAAGGAAATAAATTCACTCTTTTTTCAACGGAAAGAGTATATTATTTTGATTGTATTAACTTTACTTATTATATGTGGATATATTAGGATTTAGAAGCAATAAGATTAGGATGAGAATATCATGAGTGGATTTTACCTACAAGGGTTGTGGACTTCAGGTAGAGTGGAAATTACTTTTTCATCCTTGATCAGAGATTTTAGTTTCGAATCTCTTTGAATACGAAGTTACCTTTATTAGGAAACGCATTTATAGGTTTGAACATGAGAAGAGGAGATGTGTGAGTCATGCGAGATTGGATATATAGTGAGGTCGGGAGAGATGGAGGTAAGGAGGAGAAGAATAGAGAGTTGATTAGACACATCTTTAATTTACGGAAGATGGGACCAAAAACTGAATGGTATGGAGATTGTGGATACGGGTAGAAGATTAGTAGGTAGTTAAGAGTTATCATATTCTAGATTACTAATGTGGAACATTTGGTTTGATGCTAATATAGAGCATCGTGTCGATTGTAGTATCAGCTCATTCATGTAGTCTTTTTAGCTTTTGGCATTTAATATCATATGTGGATTATTATGTACTGTTTTGCTTTTGGTTGTTATGTATCTCACTATCTTTTTTTCCGTTTAATTACTATTTTGATTTGCTCGAGTTGAACTTGTTTGAAAATGAGTCCGGCATCAAAACGGACACTCAAGTAGAATATTTGATTTGGTGGTTGTATAGAGTATCGTGACGATATAATATTTGCTTATTCATTTAGTCTTTAGATTTTGACATCATATGTGGTTATTATGTATTATTTTATTATTAGTTGTGAGATAGTTAAGAGTTGTCATATTTCTAGATTATTCATGTGGAACATTTGATTTGGTGGTAGTTAAAGGCATCGTACCAATTGTAGTGTTAATGTGTCTCTCTTGAATGCGGACAATGTATACTATCATATCTTTTAGTACCTAATAAATTAGGTGAACCATGATAAATAAAAATTGTAGGTCAATGAGTTTTCTTTCAAATGCCACCAATTTAGTATCATTTAGTGTTTAAAATAAATCATTATGACAATTTTACCATATACTAGTGTAAATAAGAGAAACTTTGAATCTTCTTCGTTTTGGCTTTTGAAGTTAGTTTCATGTATAGAAAAACTCTATTTCACGCTCCATACCTCATTTGATCTTATAAACACTTAAATTTACCCATTGAAACTAACATACATAATTTAGTAAATCATCACAAACACCCACAAAAAAATTACATGTAAACAATGTGTGCCTCTCTTGAAAGGCAAACAATGTATACTTTGTTTCTTTTAGTACGTAATGAATTAGGTTAATCATGATAAGTAAATTTGTAGGTCAATGAATTTTCTTTCAAATGTCACCAATTTAGTGTCATTTAATATTTAAAGTAAATTATTATGATCATTTTACTATAGACTAGCGTAAATAAGGAAAACTTTAAATCTTCATCACTTTGGCTTTAGAAGTTAGTTTCGTGTATGGAAATATTCTATTTCACGGTCCATACCTCATTTGCACTTATAAATACCTATAGTTACCTATTGGAACTAACACACATAATTTATTAAATCATCAAAAACACCATAAAAGAATTTGATAAAAAAAACTACATGCAATCAATGTGTAACTCTTTTGAAGGTAAACAATGTATACTATCATAGCTTTTGTACGTAATAAATTAGGTGAGCCATGATAAATAAAAATTATTGGTCAATGAGTTTTCGTTCAAATGTCACCAATTTTAGTATCATTTAATATTTAAAGTAAATCATTATGACCATTTTACTACAAATTAGTGTAAATAAGACAAACTTTGAATATTCATCACTTTTGCTTTAGAAGTTAGTTTCGTGGATGGGAAAACTCTGTTTCACGGTCCATATCTCATTTGAACTTATAAGCACCTATATTTATCCATTAGAAGTAACACATATAATTTATTAAATCATCACAAAAAAAAATTGGTTAAAAATTATATGCAGAAATGTGTGTCTGTCTAGAAGGCAAACAATGCATAAATAAAATGCATGATGTCATGTAGGACGTGTATGTCTATTTGTTCAACTTTATACATGTTTAAGTTTCTATTTGTGCAAAGTCAAAGTTGAAGATCATAAATTTAATTTGAAGTCAAATTAAAAGGCATATGTATGTATTCTACCTAATTTATTCATGTAGTTTTTAGTTTTTTGCATTTGATATCATATGTGGATTATCATGTATTGTTTTGCTATTAGTTGTCATGTTTCTTTTCACTACCCTTTTTCCACTTAATTACTATTTTGATTTGTATGAGTCAGGTTTGTTTGAAAATGAATCCGACATTAAAACAGATACTTTTTGAACTTTAAACACCAAACGAGACCCTCTCTAAAAACACATATCAAAACGAACAGTTCACCCATTATGAACAAATTACAAATATCATCTTTTAAAGTTTTAGTCCCCATTAACTCCAAATTTATCCAAACTAATACTACACAATATTTTAAGGTAGTTCGCCAACAAATGGTCATACTACAATTCTTTTTGTCAAACTCCTCACCTAAATATATATTTATTTTTTAATTTTGAGTGTATTGTAAATGCATAATATCATGACTTTTTCGATGATAAAAGTATTTAAAAATGATATTCTTTCATAAAATAAATTTCACTATTTATTTGCTTATAACAATAATAAAAAAAACTACTAAGATCGACTGAGACAACGAGCTTCTTATGACTAATTTCCCAACATAAAACACATTGTTGTGTCATGCGATCTGGAGCAATATATGTCCATCTCATTTATACGAATCCTTGTCTCAAACATGTCATCTTGTTTTTCTTCTAATTCTTTTAGCAAATCCTTAGAAGATGTTCTATCTCATATATACAAATTACATATTTATGTGTGAAGTTATTGTATCACCATCGAAAGAGGGTCTATTCGCATCCATTATTTTACTGAAATAACAAAACAAGAAATCAAGTGAATATCCAAATATCTTGAAGTGGATAGCTTAATTTTTTTACCTTTGAATGTGCACAACACCAAAACTTGCGATCAAAATTTCTTAGAGTCCATGCTTTCATTTTACATATTATTTGCATTTACAAACATATGATTCATCAGAATATACTAACTTCCTGGATTGTTGAAACATAACTATCAAATTGCAAAAATCAAAATATAAAGTAAGGAAAAGTAGATGTTGAATAAAAAATGTGGAGTAATAACCCATATTTATTGTTGAAGAAGGCGATATAGTTTCACGTGAGAATGACGAGATATAGATTCACGTGAGGAGGGTTAACAAAAAGAATTATAGTTCACTCATTTGTAGGTGAACTACCTTTAAGATTTGAATTAATATGGATTTGGATGAATTTGGAGTTAACGAAGACGACGTTGTTAAAATATGGTAGTTGTAGTTCGCCCATAAATGAGTGAACTGTCCGTTTTTGTGTGTATTTTTAAAGAGGGTCTCTTTTGTTGTTTAAGATTCAAAAAGTGTTCATTTTGATGTCAGGCTCGTTTCAAGCAATCTCTATACCTCATAAAGACAGTGACTAATTGCGTACACTTTCGTTATCCCGAATTCACTAAATATGTTAATTATCCCCAAATTTTATATGTTTTTTCAGTTGCTTTGATTCTGTTAGGTATATAACTGTTAACATGAAAAGTAGCGACAATTTTGGTTTCGAGGAAGAGCATGATTTCTAAATTTATCACCAAATCCATAATTAGATTTAGTTATTAACGCATCACACATTTTTAAAATTTTTTTTATAGATTTAATTATTAGGGTTGCTTATTAAATATTTACATGTATTTAATAATATTTTTTGATATAACTATATGACTTAAAGCAAAATTTATATATTGAATTCAGCTAAATCCATTCCTAAAATGATGGCTCTATCATGTTTTGATCGTAAAGTAAAGAGGTATTTATCCTGAATCAAGTTTTTCTTTTTGCATTCACCTTATAGGAATTGTTTGGTACGATAAATAAGGAATAATAATCTATAAATTATTTGTGGTGACTTATTAATTCCTTTAAAATACTATCCCACTAAAATTGCGATTCATTTTTCTATGTTAATTTCGGGTGACAAATATTTTATCTTATATTTTGGCTTTTAATAAAAATATCAATCACAAAGTTTTTTTTCTTTATCAGTTTTTTTTTGTAGTATAATATTTTAAAATACACCATATATTCAATTTATTATATAAAAATTATTAAATACGCTCAAAATTAAAATTGCTAATTACTTATTTGTTCGATAGTAGAGAATGTACCAAGTACCAACTAGTGCAAAGAAGAAAGAAAGAACCCTTGAATTACTAATCAATCGATGCACAAAACACCTCATGTTCACACAGATT